AGATGTGTATAAGAGACATGTATAGTATAGGCCTATGAAGAAACAAATAAATTTTCATCGTATTTGTAGGTTCAATGGCTGTAGAAAGTATAACATTGATGGATAACACTGTGATTCCTGAAGTCAGAACAACAGAAAATATCGTTGCACGGACCATTTACTCAACAATTGAAACATCACAGCCAACCATCTTTCCTGAAAAGTCTCCTTTACAGAAGACGTCTGAAAATGTTAACAAGATAACCATGGTAACTAAGGAATATACAGCGAATACGAATCAGGCGAGTATACCACATCCTGTGTCCCCTCTAATTCATAAATCAACGTACTCACCTGTCGCTACATCCAAGATGGTCGATGTCACATCGCCTCCTTTTTCCCCTGGTGAGCCAAAATGCCTTCTTCCACTACATTAATCGTATAGAAGTCGCATTATTCTGCGCTGCATGGTATTTGGATATATTTATTCTGCATTAAAAAGAAATACTGTCCGTACGTAGTGACGGATTTAATGGGGGATGGGGAGTCGTCGGCCCGGTCCCTCTATTTTTTTTTTCAAAAAATGAAGAAAAAAAAAGAAAATTTAAAATTTTAAGTGTGAGAGTACCACATTCGGCCATCTAAGCTAGAACCTCTATCTAATCTGTGAATGTCTCCCCTCCCCCGGTCCCCGTGATTTCCAATTTGTATCCGCCACTGGTGCATCAATATATTCTGCAATGTAATTCACTTAACTGTTCTGTGCAGGAACTATAACTGTATACAATATTTTAAATATCATACGTTCTTATGAGTGTAGGCCTGTGTCCTCACGATTGATGATAATAATGAATAGTGGGCTTAATAGAATTATGCCTTCCTTTACACAAATGTTACCGTAATTTTTATAACCATGAGTGTCTTCATTAATATTATGTTGTTACTATTATCATCAACATCATCATCATCATCATCATCATCATCATAATCATTATAATCATCATCATAATCATCATCATTTTCATCAACAACATCATCATGACAGTCACCTACGTCACTATTCTTATCCTTTTTTTTTATATATTTTCCGTATTTTATCAAATGATGATAATTTTCAGTGACACAGCGCCTGATTAATTTTACAAGTATATACTTATATATATTGCCGGATGCAGAGGGGGTGCAGACGGTGCGATTGCACCCCCTAATTTGTATTAAGAAAAGTAATTGTTGTATTGTTGTAAATTATGAGAGTGATCGATCGGTGGGGACGCCGTGGTAACTCCAGTAGGGTCAATTTTCGTCGGAATGTATCAAGATGATATTAACAGTTTCATTGGACTAAATTCTTGCTTATGTTAACCACATGTTACCTAAGATTATACTGACACTGGTTTCAAATCACGGTCAAGTAGTTACAAATTACCTAAAATCACCTTATTTTGCGAATTAGCGCCCCTCAACTGATCATCGATCCC